GTTTACATTATTTATTCTGTAGTTTAATAGCAAATAATGAACAAACAAAACACTCACCACACTGAGTGGTGGGAGGGCTGGCTGCCAGTTGCGGGGGTCGGAGGGAGGGTAGTAGGGACTCGCAGTGGTGGAAGCATTGGTGGAGTCTGTGGTATTTAATAACATACATGTTATTAACATACATGTTATTAACATGTTATTAAATAACATACGTTATTAAAGCATAACGTGTATATATTTAGTACAATTTACGACGTTTTCATGTATTTTATGATTATTCATGGTTCAACAAGTTAAGGAAGCAGTATCGTAATATATTTCCCTACAATATATTGGGGCACCAAACATTCACGGTTTTTCAACATTCGCGAGGCTCTTGATCCCCTAACCCTTGCGAATGTTGAGGGAGACCTGTACAGCTCACTCATTACTTACCTTAAAACATTTGTAGTCTTAATGTAGGGTCAGGAGTAAGTAAATGAGATAAAACGAATAAATGAGAGAGAGAAAGAATGAGTACATGAGAGAGGACAAGCGCCGAGTTATGTAAACAAACCAGGCGAACTTAAGTTTTGTAGACAAAAACAGTGTACACGTCTGGTTTGTGTACAAATTACATTGTGTACAAGTTGTCTCTACATTGATACGGTAGAATAAATGAAGAACACTCCCATTCTCATGTAACATTTTGATTTTGATTTTAAAAGTCGAGCACATGTTATGGGCATATAAAAGCATATTCTTCTTTCAACAAACCAGCATATTCCACCAAGGCAGGGTGGCTCAAAAAGAAAAGCGAAAGTTTCTCTTTTTAAATACACCTACCATCCAACTTACGACCGAGTTCAGTTCCGAGAAACCGGTCGTAAGTCGAAATGGTCGTAAGTCGAACTTTACTACTGAATATCAACAAAACATTTTTGTAATGACTTTATTTTGATTTATTTTGGTATTTCATGTTTTACTTTACTTTTTATGTACTGTATTTTATACTGTAAGGTTTGGGATAAACACTGTGTACAATACAAATAGTTGTTTATTTCCCAGAAATTTGGCATAAAAAACGCCGGTCGTAAGTCGAGTGGTCATAAGTCGAGCAGGTCGTAAGTCGGATGGTAGGTGTATTGTAATACGTATATACAGGAGATGGGCTTACTAGCCCCTCACTCCCAGCATTTTAGTTGCCTATGACAACACGCATTGTGTACGGAGAAAGAATTTTGTTCCACTTCCCCATAGCGATAAGTGGAAATAAACAAGAACAAGAACTACCAGGAAAATAGAAGAAAATCCAGAGGGGGTGTATATATATGCTTGTAGATGCATGTGTAGTGTGACCTACGTGTAAGTAGAAGTAGCAAGACGTACCTGAAACTTTGTGAGACAGAAAACAGACATCAGCAATCCTACCATCATGTAAAGCAATTACAATAAAAGCATATTATTATAGTATAATACAGGATGATTTAACTTAGCATAACCTAAGTCAAGCAATGTAAAAACACCTACCATAAATTCTGGTTGTTGTTGCTTAAGTGGCTTGGTGTCAGTGGAGAGGCATAAGGTAACTTATAGGCCTCAGATGAAGTGGATGGCTGGGGTTTGTGGGCTGAAGTGGATGGCTTGGGGTTTGTGGGCTGAAGTGGATGGCTTGGGGTTTGTGGGCTGAGTTGTATGGCTATGGTTTGCTGGCTGAAGTGGAATGGTTGGGTTGGTCCATTTTTTTTCCTCCTGAATCCAATCATTCAGCATTTTTTCTGTTTTATTTAGGTATATTGACTGCTTTCTCATTTTTTCAATGTGTCACAATTTGTGCTACTCAACACAAAAGCTCTTATCTTCTGCTCATTGTCTTGAATCAAATGAATTATTGATTCCCTCACCTTGTAGGCTTTGGCTGAATTAACTAAGCGTGCACCACCTTTAAGCATATCTGGCTGGCTGTGTCAGAGCACAGGACAGAAACAGGTGGAGCCGTTGCAGAAGGTGGTTGCCTTCTGGGTGAAAGGTGGCAATAGTTAAAAAAAAAAATGAATAGCGAACAAATGGAAATGCAGTACATGGAGGCATGAAAGGTGGCAGTCTACTGTATTAGTGAATTGTGAATTCGTGGAACCTCTAGGAGGTTCCAAGAATACCTTAGGGCACCAATTTTTGATGTTACTGCATTCCAGAAAATTATTAATTATTATTATTATTTCCCCATAAGTTATAAAAAAAAAAAAGTTGTAAAATGAATTAATACAATTCTTAGCCATAATTTTATATAGCCGGACTTGAGTCCTGGAAATGGGAAGTACAGTGACTGTACTCTAGAGGAAGGGTTTGGGATATTGGCAGTTTGGAGGGATATGTTGTGTATCTTTATACTTATATGCTTCTAAGCTGTTGTATTCTGGGCACTTCTGCAAAAACAGTGATTGTGTGTGAGTGAGGTGAAAGTGTTGAATGATAATGAAAGTATTTTCTTTTTGGGATTTTCTTTCTTTTTGGGTCACCCTGCCTCGGTGGGAGATGGTGGACTTGTTAAAAAAAAAAAAGTTGTAAAATGAATTAATACAGTTCTGAGCCATAATTTTCTATATCTAATTTCAAATTTTCTCCAGAATTTTTTATTCAATATTGTACATTTATTACTGTTCCTTTTCTCCTACCAATAAAAGGTGAGAGAGGATTTGTGTGAGAATGGACGAGTGTGGGGATGGCTTGTGTGGGTGTAAGAGAGGATGGGTGGGTGAGGGTAGATTGTGTGGGTGAGTGGTCAGGGTGCAAGGGTGGGTGTGAGGGTGAGTGGTGGGGGTTCGAGGATGAGTGGTGTGGGTTTGAGGGTTAATGGTGTGGATGCAAGGGTGAGTGGTGTGGCTATTCACATAATTGTGGTTGCAGGGGTTGAGTCTCAGCTTGCAGTCTCAGCAAGCAGAAAGGCCCTGCCTTTCTTCTTGCTGCTGCTGGTTTCACACACACTGGGCTGTGTGAACCTTGTCATATCTGTTCTTTAAAGCTGTGTATAGACTTTGCATCTACCACTTTGCTCTCTAAAGTTGTTCCACTTCTTGATCACTCTAAAGAATTTTTTTTTTCTTTCTTTCAATGTACCAGCCGTATCCCACCGAGGTGGGGTGGCCCCAAAAGGAAAAACCTTTCAAATTTAGTAATATATACAGGAGAAGGGGCTACTAGCCCATTGCTCCCGGCATTTCAGTCGTCTCTTACAACACGCATGGCTTACGGAGGAAGAATTCTGTTCCACTTCCCCATGGAGATAAGAGGAAATAAACAAGAACAAGAACTAGAAAGAAAATAGCAGGAAACCCAGAGGGGTGTATGTATATATATGCTTGTACATGTATGTGTAGTGTGACCTAAGTAAGTAGAAGTAGCAAGACGTACCTGAAATCTTGCATTTTTGAGACAGAAAAAAGGACATCAGCAATCCTACCATCATGTAAAACAATTACAGGCTTCCGTTTTACGCTCACTTGGCAGGACGGTAGTACCTCCCTGGGTGGTTGCTGTCTACCAACCTACTACCTAGGACTCTAAAGAATTATTTTCTAAAATTCCTGTGACTTGTCTGTGCTTTTAGTTTCCAGCTTTGACCTTGTGTCCTTGAGGCCCAACTTTCAAACTCTCCCTGTCACTTCTGAGTATTTTGTAAGTCGTAATCATTTCACCTCTAGTCCTTCTATCATCTAGTGTTATTGGGTTTAGCTCTTCTAGCCTCTCCTCATAGGTCATACCCCCTCAGCTCTGGGACTAGTTTCATTGCAAACCTTTGTACCTTTCCAGATTTATATGTTGGACCAGATATGGATTCCATACTGGTACTACATACTCCAAGATGGGTCTGACATATGCCATGTATAAGGTTGTGAATACCTCCTGGTTCATTTTTCTGAAAGCTACCCATAAAATTGCCACTTTAGTATTTGCTGTAGCAATTATTCAGTTGTGTGCCTTGGACAAAATGCTTGGAACTATGCTCACCCCAGGGGTCTTCCTTTTCAGGGAAGGTTTGCAGCCTTTGTTCATGAGTCTGTACACTGTTACCAGACGTCTTTGCCATTCTCCAGTTTTCATAACTTTGATTTGCTGGGATTAAATTCCTTTAGCCATTTATCAGACCAATCCTGCAGCTTGTTCAAATTCATTTTAGTCTTTTCTGGTCTACTCTTGTGTATCTTCTTTAGTTTCATATCTATGATGATGGGTGGTTAGGAGAGTGGATAGACAGGTGTGAGAAGATGTATATATCATATGCAGTCTTGAAACCAAGAGACCATAGTTGGAAATTAAACACTGAAATGAGTTACAGGGATATCAAAAAATTCTTCAGTGTGAGTGGTAATGAATGAAGTGGAATGAACAAGTTAGTGACACTTGAAATGGAAGCATATACTATACAGTGGTTCAAATATAGATAGAACAAAGCTATTTTAAGTCAATTGAAAGTTAAGAACCTAGGAAGTAGATCAATAGACAGCAACCACCCAAGGAGGTACTACTGTCCTGCCAAGTGGGTGTAAAATGGAAACCTGTAATTGTTTTACAGGCAAGATTTCAGGTATGTCTTGCTACTTCCTGCTTACATTTAAGTCACACCACACATACATGTACAAGCATCAATATACACACCCCTCTGGGTTTTCTTCTATATTCTTACTAGTTCTTGTTCTTGTTTATTTCCTCTCATCTCCGTGGGGAAGTGGAACAGAATACTTCCTCCGTAAGCTATGCGTGTTATAAGATGCGACTAAAATGCTGGGAGCAAGGGGCTAGTAACCCCCTTCTCCTCTATGCATTACTAAATTTTAAAAGAGAAACTTCAGTTTTTCTGTTTAAGCCACTGCACCTTGGTGGGATACACCCTGGTCACTGAAAAAAAAATTAAGTTAAGAAGTAAGGTCAAGCACTAGATTTCTCCACCTGGAAACTTAAATAGAATTATACAAACATAAAGCTTTAATTTTTTTTATTAGTAATGTATTTTTCTCCAACAGGAAGAGATGGACAGGATAGTTAAGCAGTATGACATGAAGTCACCCTTGACTGGCAATGACCTTTCAGATGCTATGGAGTTTAATCTTATGTTCCCTATATATATTGGACCCTCAGGTATGCAATTGACAAACAGACCTGTTAAAAGGTAGTGAGCCAATAATTCGATGTTCAGCCATAAAAAAAATAGCCCTGTTTTAACGTAACATCTTGAAATTAGTAAATCTATCTTTGTAGTGGTCTTATGTATTTATTGTATCAGAATGAGCATTATCTTTTTTTTTATTAACACACTGGCCGATTCCCACCAAGGCAGGGTGGCTCGAAAAAGAAAAACTTTCACCATCATTCACTCCATCACAGTCTTGCCAGAAGGGTGCTTTACACTACAGTTTTTAAACTGCAACATTAACACCCCTCCTTCAGACTGCAGGCACTGTACTTCCCATCTCCAGGACTCAAGTCCTGCCTGCCGGTTTCCCTGAATCCCTTCATAAATGTTACTTTTCTCACACTCCAACAGCACGTCAAGTATTAAAAACCATTTGTCTCCATTCACTCCTATCAAACACGCTCACGCATGCCTGCTGGAAGTCCAAGCCCCTCGCACACAAAACCTCCTTTACCCCCTCCCTCCAACCTTTCCTAGGCCGACCCCTACCCCGCCTTCCTTCCACTACGGACTGATACACTCTTGAAGTCATTCTGTTTCGCTCCATTCTCTCTACATGTCCGAACCACCTCAACAACCCTTCCTCAGCCCTCTGGACAACAGTTTTGGTAATCCCGCACCTCCTCCTAACTTCCAAACTACGAATTCTCTGCATTATATTCACACCACACATTGCCCTCAGACATGACATCTCCACTGCCTCCAGCCTTCTCCTCGCTGCAACATTCATCACCCATGCTTCACACCAATATAAGAGTATTGGTAAAACTATACTCTCATACATTCCCCTCTTTTCCTCCAAGGACAAAGTTCTTTGTCTCCACAGACTCCTAAGTGCACCGCTCACCCTTTTCCCCTCAGCAATTCTATGATTCACCTCATCTTTCATAGACCCATCCACTGACGCGTCCACTCCCAAATATCTGAATGCATTCGCCTCCTCCATACTCTTTCTCTCCAATCTGATATCCAGTCTTTCATCACCTAATCTTTTTGTTATCCTCATAACCTTACTCTTTCCTGTATTCACTTTTAATTTTCTTCTTTTGCATACCCTACCAAATTCATCCACCAACCTCTGCAACTTCTCTTCAGAATCTCCCAAGAGCACAGTATCATCAGCAAAGAGCAACTGTGACAACTCCCACTTTATGTGTGATTCTTTATCTTTTAACTCCACGCCTCTTGCCAAGACCCTCGCATTTACTTCTCTTACAACCCCATCTATAAATATATTAAACACCACGGTGACATCACACATCCTTGTCTAAGGCCTACTTTTACTGGGAAATAATCTCCCTCTTTCCTACATACTCTAACTTGAGCCTCACTATCCTCGTAAAAACTCTTCACTGCTTTCAGTAACCTACCTCCTACACCATACACCTGCAACATCTGCCACATTGCCTCCCTATCCACCCTGTCATACACCTTTTCCAAATCCATAAATGCCACAAAAACCTCTTTAGCCTTATCTAAATACTGTTCACTTATATGTTTCACTGTAAACACCTGGTCCACACACCCCCTACCTTTCCTAAAGCGTCCTTGTTCATCTGCTATCCTATTCTCCGTTTTACTCTTAATTCTTTCAATAATAACTCTGCCATACACTTTACCAGGTATACTCAACAGACTTATCCCCCTATAATTTTTGCACTCTCTTTTATCCCCTTTGCCTCTATACAAAGGAACTATGCATGCTCTCTGCCAATCCCTAGGTACCTTACCCTCTTCCATACATTTATTAAATAATTGCACCAACCACTCCAAAACTATATCCCCACCTGCTTTTAACATTTCTATCTTTATCCCATCAATCCGGCTGCCTTACCCCCTTTCATTTTACCTACTGCCTCACGAACTTCCCCACACTCACAACTGGCTCTTCCTCACTCCTACAAGATGTTATTCCTCCTTGCCCTATACACGAAATCACAGCTTCCCTATCTTCATCAGCATTTAACAATTCCTCAAAATATTCCCTCCATCTTCCCAATACCTCTAACTCTCCATTTAATAAACTCTCCTATTTTTAACTGACAAATCCATTTGTTCTCTAGGCTTCCTTAACTTGTTAATCTCACTCCAAAACTTTTTCTTATTTTCAAAAAAATTTGTTGATAACATCTCACCCACTCTCTCATTTGCTCTCTTTTTACATTGCTTCACCACTCTCTTAACCTCTCTCTTTTTCTCCATATACTCTTCCCTCCTTGCATCACTTCTACTTTGTAAAAACTTCTCATATACTAACTTTTTCTCCCTTACTACTCTCTTTACATCATCATTCCACCAATTGCTCCTCTTCCCTCCCGCACCCACTTTCCTGTAACCACAAACTTCTGCTGAACACTCTAACACTACATTTTTAACCCTACCCCATACCTCTTTGACCCCATTGCCTATGCTCTCATTAGCTCATCTATCCTCCAATATCTGTTTATATCTTACCCTAACTGCCTCCTCTTTTAGTTTATAAACCTTCACCTCTCTCTTCCCTGATGCTTCTATTCTCCTTGTATCCCATCTACCTTTTACTCTCAGTGTAGCTACAACTAAAAAGTGATCTGATATATCTGTGGCCCCTCTATAAACATGTACATCCTGAAGTCTATTCAACAGTCTTTTATCTACCAATACATAATCCAACAAACTACTGTCATTTCGCCCTACATCATATCTTGTATACTTTTTTATCCTCTTTTTCTTAAAATATGTATTACCTATAACTAAACCCCTTTCTATACAAAGTTCAATTAAAGGGCTCCCATTATCATTTACACCTGGCACCCCAAACTTACGTACCACACCCTCTCTAAAAGTTTCTCCTACTTTAGCATTCAGGTCCCCTACCACAATTACTCTCTCACTTGGTTCAAAGGTTCCTGTACATTCACTTAACATCTCCCAAAATCTCTCTCTCTCCTCTACATTCCTCTCTTCTCCAGGTGCATACATGCTTATTATGACCCACTTTTCGCCTCCAACCTTCACTTTAATCCACATAATTCTTGAATTTACACATTCATATTCTCTTTTCTCCTTCCATAACTGATCCTTCAACATTACTACTACCCCTTCCTTAGCTCTAACTCCCTCAGATACTCCAGATTTAATCCCATTTATTTCCCTCCACCGAAACTCCCCTACCCCCTTCAGCTTTGTTTCGCTTAGGGCCAGGACATCTAACTTCTTTTCATTCATAACATCAGAAATCATCTGTTTCTTGTCATCCGCACTACATCCACGCACATTCAAGCATCCCAGTTTTATAAAGTTTTTCTTCTTCTCTTTTTAGTAAATGTCTACAGGAGAAGGGGTTACTAGCCCATTGCTCCCGGCATTTTAGTCGCCTCATACGACACGCATGGCTTAGGAGGAAAGATTCTTTTCCGCTTCCCCGTCTACAATAGAAGAAATAAAGAAGAACAAGAGCTATTTAGAAAAAAGAGAAAAACCTAGATGTATGTATATATATATGCATGTGCGTGTCTGTGAAGTGTGACCAAAGTGTAAGTAGGAGTAGCAAAATGTCCCTGTTATCTAGCATGTTTATGAGACAGAAAAAGAAACCAGCAATCCTACCATCATGCAAAACAGTTACAGGTTTCTGTTTCACAGTTATCTGGCAGGATGGTAGTACTTCCCTGGGTGGTTGCTGTCTACCAACTTACCAACGAGCATATGTCACTATAATGTAGAAACTACTCTTCTACCTAACCTGTATTTTTTTTTTTTTTCAATAAGTCGGCCGTCTCCCACTGAGGCAGGGCGACCCAAAAAAGAAAGAAAATCCCCAAAAATGAAAATACTTTCATCATCATTCAACACTTTCACCACACTCACATGTTATCACTGTTTTTGCAGAGGTGCTCAGAATACAACAGCTTAGACACATATACGTATAAAGATGCACAACATATCCCTCCAAACTGCCAATATCCCAAACCCCTCCTTTAAAGTGCAGGCATTGTACTTCCCATTTCCAGGACTCAAGTCCGACTATATGAAAATAACCGGTTTCCCTGAATCCCTTCACTAAATATTACCCTGCTCACACTCCAACAGATCGTCAGGTCCCAAGTATCATTCGTCTCCATTCACTCCTATCTAACACGCTCATGCACGCTTGCTGGAAGTCCAAGCCCCTCGCCCACAAAACCTCCTTTACCCCCTCTCTCCAACCGTTTCGAGGACGACCCCTACCCCGCCTTCCTTCCCCTATAGATTTATATGCTTTCCATGTCATTCTACTTTGATCCATTCTCTCTAAATGACCAAACCACCTCAACAACACCTCTTCTGCCCTTTGACTAATACTTTTATTAACTCCACACCTTTTCCTAATTTCCACACTCCGAATTTTCTGCATAATATTTACACCACACATTGCCCTTAGACAGGACATCTCCACTGCCTCCAACCGTCTCCTCACTGCTGCATTTACCACCCAAGCTTCACATCCATATAAGAGTGTTGGTACTACTATACTTTCATACATTCCCTTCTTTGCCTCCATAGATAAAGTTTTTTTGACTCCACATATACCTCAATGCACCACTCACCTTTTTTCCCTCATCAATTCTATGATTTACCTCATCCTTCATAAATCCATCCGCCGACATGTCAACTCCCAAGTATCTGAAAACATTCACTTCTTCGATACTCCTCCTCCCCAATTTGATATCCAATTTTTCTTTATCTAAATCTAACCTGTATGTTTGTTAAAATTTATGTGAGTGCTTTGGAATGCTTTTATTTAGGTAATGATATCAGATGAGCTGTGGCCTTGATGTTTGATTTGCACATATGTATTCAGTCTCTCAAAATTCATATTTTTCAGTGCACCCAAGCAAATGTATAACACAGACAAAATAGGATAATGCCAGAGGAGTGTTGTATAACATACAGTACTCGTTTATAGTGATTAAATAAAAATTCT